TCAGGACTTAGGACCCTCATAGATCCAATCAAGTGACTCAGTTGTCAGTCGTTGTACTCACAGACGTTTCGATGTTCGACGTCACTGCTTTATAYTGAGAGGTTCCCTCTGGTGCTTGGAAATCAGCCCATTTTTGTTCAARAACAACTGAACCTGTTAGTGTCATGTGTCCTAAAATGTCAATATCATTAGTATAACTTATGTAGCTCGTTTGTATAATAGCAGTATTACGATGGGCGATAGTGRGATGGGGAACTCGATATTTAGGTCTTATCGAGCAAGTGTGATGTCCGAACCCTAGGTTATGACCGCAAACTTACCAATCATAGCGCGTGAAATTTTAGATAACGTTGCAATGTAATAAATGTTGTTACGCGGCAGGCCAAGAGGAATGAAGGCCTATATTGACACTGTTCTCTTAGCTTAGTTTTTCAGTTTTCTCTTAGCTCAGTCTTTTACTTTTCTTAGTTTTCTAGTTTTTATTTCTAGTTCTTTTTAGGAAATTTTTTTAGTTTTTTAAATTTATTTTTAGTCAGTTTACCGCAACACTGTATAAGAGCAGTACACATAATGACACAATAATAATTTCATTTCTTTACTATTACCTCGTGCAGGTTGATACCACGAGTTGATCATCATTGTCATCATCATTATCATCAACACAAGTCTATTTATAGTCATATCCTGGTGAATGGATCGTCATTTCGGCCACACCGGCTCAGCGAAGTGCCGTCTAGAAAAACAAACAAAGTCAAAAGCTTTTTTGCCTCTGCTTGCCACAACTGACAATAACCTTTGAATGCATACACATACAAATATAAAGCGTTGTCGGAGTCAAAGGCGATAGAAATTGTGAGCATACAACTAAATACCGCACGGAAAGAAATTCTGAGCTTAATGAATATCTCAACACTATTTAACAATTACACTACGAGGTCGAGTTTTCTATGAGTCCGGCAATAAACTATTTGACTCATAGGAAACGAGAACGAGTAGTCTAATTGTTTTAGCATAAACATACTAGCTAATATTGTAGTATTGAAAACAAAAAATGACACTAAAAACTTAAGCTTTACTGTACGAAGCTACGGTCAACCGGAAGCACCGCTGTTTTCATTCATCTTTGCAAACTCGACTCGAAGTATTAACGTAATAAAGCTTAAATTTGCTCTATTTTTGTAGCTTTTTGTCTCTATTATTACTGTCAAAACTCTCTTTCTCTCTGTTCTTTATCTTATCAGTTCTTGGGAACATTTTTCTTATAAATGAGCGATAAACTGAAATAATTTATTTACAAATACTTTGTTGTCAGATCACTCAAAGCCGTGCCATGTTTACAATTTTTCAATTTACAAGATTCTTGTCATTAACTTGCACTTTCTTTATTGTTTCGCCTGTTCTTTAGAATTCTTTAGAATTCGTCATTTCATTACCTTTTAGAATTCTTCTTGAATACATGTGAATAAGTTGTCTTTTGGATTTTCTCATCATTATCTCAGCAGTCAGTTGTTTGTCCGTCGTAAAGTTTGCACATGAAAATCTCAGTGAAATCTGACGGCTATCTGACGGCCGCTTTTTCGTGTTAAAATTGCCATTATTCTTTAGTTTTTACTTATCTGTACCGTTCAAAACCTCATTTTTTTCCTTGATACAGTCTCAGTCTTGTCTTTTCTACAATCGATTTTTAAAGATTTTTCAGAGAACAAGCAGAGATTTCGACAAAACTTGAGCATGCATCTGTTTGTTTTTCGCGGATAGTATGCTAGTAGGTTYGTGCTAATACTGAATAAGAAGCAGACACAATTCATTCCAGCTATTCTTGGATGTTAGATTGACTTACCTGTTATCGCCTTTTGCCTATCCCCTTTAGCATCGACAAACGTTTATGAAATTTAAGGTATACTTATTCCATTAAAGTTTGTCACCACAAACCTAGAAATAAAGCTGAGATCACTGAGGTTCATGGGAAACTTTTCATACCAAATGAAAGCTTCGTATTGACTCAAGACTACAGCATGAGGATATATATACCGAGAAGATGTGAGACTGTAACTGGCAATGTGCAAGAGTCGTACTGTAAGTCCATCAACAGTTACCAAGCGGTTGAAACGTGTAAAATATATCCACCTATAATCCTTGTCGATCTCAGCTTCGTAGATTTTCAGGTGACTAACTTTGTTTAAATAAGTAAATATATATGTCCAGTCTAGTATGGAAGTGTGTGACATATTTAACCTCATTACCTTGTCTCTATGTTTTGAGGGAAACGAAAAGATCCTATAAGTGCTGGCTTTTTAATTTGCTTAGTAGAATCATAATTTTTTCCCAACAATTAAGTTGGGCAAAGACTACTGATAGACATGGGGCTAAAAAAACAACCAACGAGATTGAACATATTTTGCGTGGATGGATGCTAGGAAGGAAGGAGGGAAAAAGCAGAAAGGAAGGAAGTGAAGTAAAGGAGGACTGAAAAAGGAATAAAGGGATGATGAAAGGATGGAGCGGTGAAAATAAGACTGTTTCCTACGAACTATGACTTGTAAATAAACCAAAAGTATAGGAGTTTCTTTCTGGCTTAGGACACTCTTAGCCTTAATTCTACCATCACGATGGATCACTATAAATATGGAAAGACAGCCGACTTAGTGATCAGTTTTAATTAGAATAAAAACCAGAACTACTCCAGATTAATTCAAGTATGTTTTAGTTCTTTAAAAAAACTATATTTTTTCCCTCCACTTCACCGTTATCAGGCCAAAAAAAATATATATTTAGAATAAAAATAAAAATTAAAACGAAGTTAATCGAAGTAACGTATTAAATATCAGGCGTTTTCGAATTACCTCGGTAAAAATTCACTTTTGGAACTTATAACATACATAAATACAAAAACCCAATTCGAAATACTAATTTGGTTTATTCCAGCTGCCGTTATTTTGTATCCTGCTCTTGTGACCATAGCGACATTACCTGTGGGCACAATCCAAGCAGCTTACAAACRCGGGTACTCGCTTCTCAAATTCCCCAACCATTGTGAACCACTCGAAGTAATATTCTTATCAAAGCAWCATCATTTTCTCAATCATAATGAAAAGTTTGTTACTTCAAACATTGTAGTGGAGTTATGTTTTGAAAAATTGGGCAATTATTACTTGAAGCGCCTTTCCACTGATCGACAAAATTTACAGGTAGATTGTGTTATTTCTTACCTGGAAAACCCTTTTAGTTGTTACTCTTGAATTCAGTCACGTCCATAYGTCGTTCGTTTATCAAAATTTCTCCTCAAATGTTTCGCTGAGTGAAAATAAATATCTTAAGCGGTTAAATACTTTTTAAAGGCATTTCAAGCCATTAAAGATCTAGATAATGATGTACGCGTATAGGCCCCTCAATTCCCCACATACATACAAGTAATTTACCATAGTTACGCTTCATGAGTTTGTTGATGGCAAACATAGTTTGTATTTCTGGTGGTCTTTTCATCGGTTTAACAAAATCACTTTAGCGTTTCAAAATTGTGCTTAGGGAACGGTCCGGCGCTGATTGAAACTACTTAGTTATATATATATATTGGATTAATTTTTTTCAAAATCATAAGAGCTGCTGGCAGGCGTTCCCTCTAGGGCTGTCCACAAGTTGTTCCAAAAACTCCAAAATGTTGCCCAAAATTTGCCAAAAAGTTACTCAAAAGTTTCCCAAAAAAATCAAAAAGTTGCTCAAAAGTTGCCAGAACAAAATGTTCACAAAATCTTCAATTTTTTACTATGAATTGATAAATTTACCTATAAAAGAATTGTCTTTTCCAGCTTTAATAACTTCAATACCTTTATAAACTTGAAAATATATTATTTTCTTGTCTTTTTCAAAACTTAATGCAAAATGTCAATATTACTTGACTACTGTTGTGTATTGTTAACTATAGAAGCATCTGTTATGCTTCTTCTTCTTCCGAATCACTGGAGCATGCATCTGCTATTTTGTTTTAACAGTAAAACCGCTGACYTTCTGAACGCAAGCATAGATTACCACAAAAACAACACCCTGATGGCAGGGTAGACCTGGTGGTTGGGACGGTTTACTAGTATCAGAGTCTCTAAGAATCTAAAGGAGAAGTGGAAATAAGTTGGAAAAAAAAAAAAAAAAAAGGCAGAGTTTCACTGGCATGCACAATCGCACGGGAATTTTATAACTCGCTGGGTTTTAAATCAAAATGATTCATTTAAGACGTAAATACACGCCATATCAAGCTTTACATTTCATAATTTTTTATTTATCAATATTTTTTAMAAATTTAAGAAGACTATAACGCTTCGAACGGTTCGCCGTGCATCAAGGGAAGGAGGGAGGAGAAAAGCTATTCTCTCCTTCCCAAAAGCCATCGCGCGCATTAAAAAAGCGTGAGTGACGAATGCGTACGAGTCTGTGTGCATGCATGTGTGTGTGTGTGTTGGGGGGGGGGGGGGTCATTCTCGTTCCTAGATCTTCCTCGGTTGTCGTTCCTCCCCGTCAGAGGCTCTGGGAAACCCTACAACCGGAAGCAAGGAATATTGCGACCCCGTCCTCACGGCGCATTCTCGAATTTTTATTTCCCGCTACCTTTAAAAGCCAATCAAATTGCGAGAATTTATAGGGTTTCCCAGTTTTCCCAGAGCCTCTGACGGGGAGGAACGGTAACCGAGGAGGATCTGGGAACGAGATTGGTTTGGGGTACATCGCGATACATCGGTTGCTCAATCCAAGGGAGCACGGCAAATGCGCGCATGCGCGCGGATTTGAAAAGTTGGGTTTCTTGTGGTGATGGCGTAATTTGACACAGGAAGACAGTTAGTAAGAGTTAATTACCGAGAACGGAGGCAATAAGCCATATACATGCGAGGTCTATATATAGTTATTAACCGGGGCAATAACTAACTTTATTTCTCAATTGACACGGTTTTCTTTGTTATTCACAAGGCTTTATTTTTGTTATAACCCTCATTATAAATGCGAGGTCAATATATAGTTATTAATCCGGTTAATAACTATATATAGACCGTTCGCATTTATAATGAGCAACATTTGATAGAAAACCTTCTCAATTGATAAATAAAATACTTAATTACCTCGAACGTCGGCAATAAGCCTATACATCCCTCGGGCCTTGTTTGCAAAATCGTAACAATGTTTAATTATTGTGTCATTTTGGGACTCACGAAATAGTTGTTTTAAACTTTGGACGTTACTTCGCGAGTTCCAAAATGACAAGCTTTTTTATGCTCAAATTTTCTCTTAAAATTCACAACTGTATGTCGAAACTATATCCTTTTAGACTTCATTTTTTAATCGATTTACATCTATTTTCATAAACATACGACCTCGGTGCTCCGAGTTGCAAGCTGAAATTTGTTGCCGTCAATCAAAACTAATCAGTCGGTAACTTTCATATTTTTGATTTGCGGCAGCGAAAACCCAAATTTCAGCGTGTAACTCAGTTAACTTAAAGTTGATGATGCAATAATGTAGGCGCATAGGCTCTAGGCATGTAGGCGCTTACAGGCTCCTATTCTTGTATGCCGGAGTGGGAGGGTGGGTGGGGGGGTACTCCCATAAATGGACTATACGTGGATGATGCGATGAAGAGGGTATGGTTTTTCGAGCTTCTTCTTTGATCCAGCCCCGCCCCTCAGAAATTCAACATCCCTATGTGTGTGTGTGTGAGGAGAGGGGCATGGATAGTTTCTGGTACTACACAATGTTATTTTGTTAATTGTTCATCATGACTAGTACCAAAACTACCTCATAGTCTGAAGTAGGGCAGGGCAGCCAAACCTTTTAGTATTTTGAACCAGAAATCTTCGCTTTTTAAGTGAAAAATGATCACCATTGTCCTGCAAAAGTGTGGATAGATTTCTTTAGAGAGATAGTTAAGAGAGACATTGACTTGTTTCTATTCATAACTTAAGTACCTGTATCTTTTCAAGATACTGCCTTTTATCAGTCATAGACCTTTTATGCCATTTATCACGAATGGTGTGCCATCAAACTCTATTCTGCTAGAAATTGTTGATTTTTCCGAACATCTGTTTTGGTTTTATTTTTATAAAAAAAAGATTTAATAAATATATTTCACATGTAGATAGATGGATAAATCCCTCAATTGATTCTATTTTTATTACTTTTTACAGATAAATATTACTATCGACTATGTCTCATTTTCTCATTGGACTCTGAAGATGACTTACACTCAGGTTGTGGAATCGTCTGTCGCCACCAACTACAGT